AGAAGAAAATGAATCGGTGCAACTACAACGATTGCAGCGGTCAGCTTCAGCATGGTGATTGCTTGCACTTGCTATTTTTTGTTTTATAGTTCTAAAACTATTATTTTAACTACTTGTTGGATGTCTATAATTAATTAATATTTAGACAAACTGGCAACATGTTGAGAGTAATTAAGAAATGAGACAAACAAACAAATATGTTCTCATTCAGATGCTCAGGCACATTGTTAAAAAATCTCCCTGATTTGATTTATTGTAGAGTATTATTGTAGCGTAACCACTCATACATGTAAAATCAAGGACAGTTTTATTTTCTATTTCATGACCCCTCTAAGTAAAACACCATTTTATTGCTTCTTGTTTAAGCATCTGCTTTAAAACGGTGAGCTGTTTTTGGCAGTGTTGGCATTGTCCACTTATTAGTATATTTGGGATTGTTTTTTTTTTTATATATATAAATATGGGCAGTCATGGGTTGGGATTATATAGAGTTTTGGCCTTATTTAGGCTTATTTCTGTGATGAAAATAGAGCTTATTTTGAGCTTATTTTGTTGGACCCAGCCTGATCTGGCAACACTGTCTCTGTGACCCTTAATACTGTATATGTGGTGCCCATAGACTGCAGGGCCTCTAAAAACAACTACAGTACAGAGATACCAATGTGAAATTAAAACTGAAAATCTAAAAATAAATGCTACTTCATAATATTAATAAATACTACAGTAGTATATAAATAATACTAAAATAACACTGGCTGCAGTGTGTTCATACCCCACAGTGATGTGCTAAAAAGCACTCAGAACACCTTCGCAACCACTTGGCAATGCCATGAAAACCACATACATCACCACTAACATTATAATGACTTTTTTAGCTATATGCCACTTACATTTTCTTAAAAAAAACTTCTTAAACTCCAAACTGCAATCTACATTTAATCTAAATGAACTGAGACTCTCTAAATAAACATTCGCCCACTAAAGCATTTCATTTTCATGCCACTCTAATTCTGCTGAGTGAGAGAATATGAGGAAGGATTCAAAGCCCAAATTTGCTTTCGCTCTGATTTTTTTCCCCCCTTTAGTGCCAGATGTCCCTCACAGTGTTGGCTTGTTTTGCTCTCATCGATTCATCCATGTCTGCCAAGATTAGACTCTCTCACAGGCTCGCTAGCCAACCGAACGCTAGCCAGCTTCCTCCTAACACATGTAGTTGCTTTCGAGCCGCATATATCACGCCAGATGCCATGATCTTGCTTTGTCTCTGGAGTGTTTCTGGAATGATGTCCAATTGGAGGACGAGCGGTGTGGGTCGAGTGTGAAATGTCAGAGAGAAAGGTTAGCTCACCCACGCCATCCTGCAGCTTCTGAGACGAAGGTGCTGTCACAGCCACCCTGTCTCTCCACACTGCTTCAGCGGCCACGGGCTAATTAGATTTTAGGAAGGATCCCTCGTAATCCAAGCCGTCTGGCTTATGTCATCATCGCTTTCCCCCTCCCAGTCCGCGTATCAACAACAGTATTCACACAATGTCACGCCAGGGATTTCATACGTATGATGGCGGTTATCGATGCGTACAGTGTGTTTGAACAAGGAGGCCTAAAATGGTTTTTCTGTGGCCTGGATTTGGCTGCTCATTGGTTGGTTATTCTATGTTGTGTCATGGTGAGGGTCACGGGGCGGGCTAGTGGTTGAAAGGTTGCAGTGGTGGAGGTAACGAATTACAACTACTCACGTTACTGACTTTACAGCAAAAAGACACGTGAATTATGGCCTAAAGGTGGATGTTTTTACAATTATACTAAAAGGCCTTATACTTACTACCACTAAACTATCAAGGCATGTTGTACATTGTGTGCAACAGGGTTTTTTTTATAGCAGTTTTAATCATTTAGAAGCCTTAGAAATATGCATATCAAATATGACACAGTAGGACATGGAGTTAACAAGTAGATCTGGAGTGTGGCACATGTGTCCATGTACAGGTCGATATCTTTTGAAGCTTTGGAATCAAAATCCAGTGGTGGAGGTAATGAATTACAATTACTCACGTTACTGTAATCAAGTAGTTTTTTCGGGTACTTGTACTTTTTTGAGTTTATTTTTAAAGCTGTACTTTTACTTGTACTTAAGTACAAATTAAGCAAAATAATCTACTTCGTTATTTTTAAATCATAGTTCGTTACTGAGTACGCCCACAATTTGAATTAATATTTAAACCTTTGACGGCACTTCATTACTCATTTTCCACAGTATCTACCGAATATACACCGATACAAGCTACGTCGCTCTTTCCTCTCCGACAGCGAGTTTGACATGCATCCGCCTCCTGTCGATTACAGAGTCTGAATGTTCGTGCGGGATTGCAGGTATTCTGCATAATTTTAATCATTCCCGCGCAAATGTGGCGAGCGCTTTATTGTAACATGAGAACACAGTCATGTAATCACAGAAAACTGGATGCGAGCTCTCAAATAGGCCTAACTTATACAAATGAACTAACTGCCTGTCCTCTCACTCCGATATTGCTTGTGCGCACTGTGTGCAATCGCGGTCTCTCCATGCTTTTAAAGTAGAAATTATTTCTCTTTGCTCCTGGATTAAACTTTGTCAAAAGTTATCAACCATTCAGAATAGATCCACGCCTGACCGATGAAAAT